TGTAGGCACATGTGTACATATACATGTGCATATATGTATCCTAGCTCTGTTCAATGAGATAGCCTAGAAACAATGACGTTACTAACAATGATCTTAGCTTTTAAAATATCATTCTTAACACAAATGAATCAGGGTTCTTTAGAGCAAAAGCCAATATCAAATGTGAGGAAGGAAAAATTCAAGATGAACCGGATACATTGTGTCGTGCACAATTGTTGTGATATTCTCTTTATGGAGTGTATTGTAACTGAACACACAGTATCTCTGGGGTATGCCTATATTTATATCCACACTTGCATATCACTAGAGAAAATGGGGAAAATAGAAACATTTGTGAATTTGGTTAAATGGTAGATGGAAGATACTTTTATTACTTTTTGCAACTTTTCTGTAAGTTTGAAATTATTACAAAATAAAGTTATAAAAATAATGTCAAGAAAATGAGGAGGAAGAAATACTAACTTAGGAAACAAAAAATTCAAATGGTTAAGTCCAAAAGTATGTTATTGTTAAAAGTAGATAAAATAAACAAAACTCTACCAATTTTTAATTTAAAAAAGGAAGAAAAACACAAATGTAGGTTTGCTAAAGGATAAATTGCAAGAATATCAAGACCAGTAACTCTCTTCTAGTTTACAAATATGGATAAAATGGTTAATTTTCTAGGAGAAAAATTATCAAAATTAACCAATGAAGCAGAAAACCTAAATAGACTATTAACTATCAAATAAAGTTATCAACAAATGTCCTCCAATTTTGTCTCCTAGGAGAGATACTGCTGAGTTCTATCAAATTTTAATGAACTGATAATGCCCAAAGAAACTATTCCAACCATGTAAAATGATGGAATTTATCCTATGAAGCTAATATATCACTGATAATGAAGCTTCCAAAAATTAGAAAAGTAATATTCAATTTCCTTGTGAATAGACATGTGCAAAAACTTAAAATGCTAGCAAACTAAATTCAGTAATATAATTAGATCATGCATTTTGAGATGAGAATCTTATAACATTTTAAGAATTTTTTAATGTAATAATAATCTGTTAATGTAACCAAATAAATCACTGGAAAAATCATAACAAACTTATTGGGGCTGAAAATATTCACTTAAATTAAGCAGCCATTTCCATTTCTTATAAGATGCATAGATTGATATTACTTTAACATGTTAAAGATGACCTATCAAATGAATGTAGGGAGAAGTGAAGCTATTTCCATTAAAATCAAGAATGTACAAAAAACTTCTACTATTACTATTTAATACTCTTTTTTTGTTTGTTTTGGTTAATATATAAGACATAAATGAATTAAAGGAAAGCCATTATAATTATTTTTGAATGGTATAGATCAAAAGCCCAAGAGATTTACCTTAAAAAAAAGTAAACATTTCAGTACTAGGTTGTATAGTGCTCACTGAAAATTTATGTCCACCTAGGTTGTGTAGTGTTCTCCCAAAACTCCTTTTCAGGAGTTTTGACTGTGACTTTATTTGGAATGTGACTTTATTTGGAAGTAGGGTCTTGGCAGATGTAATCTGGTTAAAATAAAATCATACCGGATTAAGGCGGGTCCTAACCCAGTGACTGGGGAATTTGGGTACAAACACAAAGGGAAGATAATGTGAAGGCAAACATGGAAAATGCCATTGATTAGTGTGATGTGTCTCCATATCACACAAATATGTAGACGTACACGTACATATTGTAGACACTGGAAGCTATGAGAAAGCAAGGAAGGATTCTTCTCTAAAGACATCAGAGAGCATGATGCTGCCAATGTCTTGATCTCAGACATCTAGCCTGCAACAACAAAGAATAAGTTTCTATCGACAGAAATTTATCTGAGTGACCACTGAGTTCGTAGTACTTTGTTAGGCAGCCCTGGAAAACTAACTCTCAAAATCACCCAACTAAGAAAACAAGAGAGTATCCCACTCAGAACCAGAAACCAGCTTTTCTAATTATGCTTCGTCTAATTATCTATTATGCTTACTTCTAATTATCATTGATCATTGCAACTTCCAACTCCTGGGCTCAAACAATCCTCCTACTTCGTCCTCGCAAGTACCTGGGAGTACACATATGTGCCACCTTACCCAGCTAATTTTTCTTATTTTTTGTAAAGATGGGGCCTTATTATGTTGCTCAGGCAGATCATGAACTCCTGGCCTCAAGTGATCCTCCCTATCTCGGCCTCCTGAAGTCCTGGGATTTCAGGTGTGAGCCACTGCACCTGGCCTAATGATTCCTTTGTAAATAAAACATATTCTATCCATTTCCCTTGATCAATGGGAAAATTATAGCATTTAGAAAGGTGGGAACTATTAATAGTTTGATGATATAGCTGTAGACAAAGGTGATCATTTTCTTTCTGATGGCACACAGGTCTGCCAGTGGCATTAATTGTGCCATGAAATGCCAGGAGCTGGCATCAGCTCACAGGACTGTGTGCTGCTTTTCTCACCTGGCATCCGTGGGATATAATGGAATATGAAATTATAAGTTCACTATTGCCATAGTGATGTGAAATTTAAACAACTTTGGCTTGCTTGTTGTATTTTCCCCACTGATTTATTAGAATTAAACTTTCCAAGGAAAGATATCTTCAAAACTATAGTACAGATCAAAATAGCAATAATGATTTACATTGTAGACATTCATGTAGCGGTGTTTGTATATTTTTGAAAAACTAATCAAATCTGTTTTTCAGTAATACACATTATTTCCTCATTTGGCCTCTCTAGATGCTGATCTATATGATAATCTGGTCCTCACAGACTGCTAAATTTTCCAGCACAGGAACAACTGAATTAGTTACTTCAATATATGTATAGAGAGAGAGACAGAGAGAGTGAGACAGAGTCTCACCCTGTTGCTCAGGCCAGGGTGCAGTGGTATCATCGTAGTTCACTGCAACCTCAAACTCTTGGCCTCGAGCGATCCTGCTGCCTCAGCCTCCCAAGTACCTGGGACTACAGGAGTGTGACATGATGCCTCACTAATTTTTCTATCTTTTATACTGTTACTCAGGCTAGTCTCGAACTCCTGGCCTCAAGCAATCATCCCACCTTGGCCTCCCAAAATGCTAGAATTATAGGCGTGAGCCATTGAGCCTGGCCCATTTTATAATTCTTAAGCAAGATAACAGTTCAGATTCTAAACTAGATGCTGAGTTGGGGTTCATTATTATTTTAGTGATATCTATTCCCTAGTTCTCTGAAAGGATACTTAGGAGAACTTCAGTATTATGAACTAATAGAGGCAATAAGTATCACAGTCTATTCTAGGAAAGAATAAATTAAAAAAAAAAACAAATTTCAAATGACATTTGAAAAATGAATTAGCAATTAGATAAAAAAAAGCCTTTCTGTTGATTTGATGATATAAATTATGACAAAAAATTTGTCTCTATCCTTGAAAACATTAGAAATCAGTATAATTCTATTAAAAACATTTTTAAAAGCATATTAGTACTGATGCTTTCTTAATTTTACCTTTTTAGGTGTTTTAAAAGCTAAAAATGATCATTTTTAAGCCATTTTTTAATTGTTGGGCAAGCTCCTTGCTGGGAAGTATAATAAAGTTAACTTTCATTTTAGTTTTGCCTTCTAGACCCAAAATGTTATAGAAACAATGATAAAACTTGCATTTTTGTATTCTCCACACTATTAACTGCAAAGAACATAAAATTTATTTTGTGTATTTAAACAATTTTGGCTGATCAGTGATAGTGATAATTCATATACAAAAAGACACTTTTGATGCCAAAACCAACAGAATTTGGAAAATCTTAAAGAGTCCTTTGTAATAGAATAGAGTAGCTTTTTTTGTGCAGGAATTGCTGTGGTTTCTGTGGGGTTATCTGCCTTTCTTTGGCTGGTTTGTTGCGGAGCAGGTTTCTGAGTGTTTTGATGGCAGAATTATTCTTACTCTCAGGTAAAATTGCCTTAAAATATTTGAGCAATTGTTCAAATGAATTTTAAGTAGAAATATTTTTCTGAACGCATATCTACATATTACAGCAGCTTCTTCTCGATTATTTTTAGTTTTTGGACCCTATCTCACATATAATTATGACCTTAGAGATATTCATTTCAATTTTAATATTCAAATAGAACTTAATAAAGAATATGGTTATTAAATAATTCTAAGCAATACATTTTGTTACTTTTGATCAAATTGATCACGTATTGGTTTTATGCAGGATCATGCATATTTACTTAAAAATAAAAAGTATCAAAAGTGCCCTAAGCATATAATCTTATAAGACATGACCCCTTGATACTACAATGCTATTTTATAACATCTTCCCTATCATTGTGAGCTTAATAACGTACCTGCAGCATCATAAAAAAGACATCTGTGTAATTCCTACTGTGCTGGAAGTGGGAGAAAAAAACAACTTAAGCAATGTTAATATTTCAAAGAACACCTGGGAGATAGTTTGGTATGTAATGGAACTTAACATATTTAATTTCTGCAACTTATTACAATAAATTAATTTAAATTATTATACCTTTTACCTTTTGTGTTTCACAGTTTTCTCATTTCTAAAATGACGAGAACTGTTCTAAAAACAATTATGATGATTAATGATAACTGTTCCTTAAGGCCACATTGCCCAAGCTAAACTATATTGCAGTATAATAAACTTCTTAAATTTGCTACCAAGACCTGAGAAGCAAAGATGATAAGAGAGAATGAATAAATTACACTGCTTTAATAGGTGTTTGGAGGAGAAAATGTGTGTGATGCTGAAGTATTTTCTTGCTGATTTTGAGACTAGGACTGGATTTGTGAAGAAATGAACTTACACGAGGCATGGGCATAGCCGTGTATAACAAATTCGAATATTCTATTTGAATGTTGCTGTCAGGTTAGTTATTATAAAGTTTTGAATATTATAGGATATAGAAAAATCAATGTAATTTTGAATTGCATGCTTTAAAGTCAGCACATTTTCTTTTTCTCTAACATACATTTGGAAATATTTTCCAGGTACCTCCTCCAGGGGGCGCTGCGATTTTGAATTTGATCTTTGTTCCTGGGAGCAGGAGCAGGACGAGAACCTTGACTGGCAGCTGAAAGGTAGCAGCAACCCCGCTGCAGGCACAGAACCCGCTGCAGATCACACCTTGGGAAATTCCTCTGGTCATTACATCTTTATAAAGAGCTTGTTCCCTCAGCAGCCCATGAGAACAGCCAGAATTTCAAGCCCAGTTATAAGTAAGAGAAGCAAAAATTGCAAGGTATGGAAGAAAAAGAAAAAGAAAAAAAAACAGAAATATTGTGAGCTACTGTTGATAAAGTCAGATACAGAAAATAGACTGGCCAAGGCCAGAACAAAGATGAGTTTGAATTTATTCAGCTCGGGATATGTTAGGAAGGGGGAAAAGAAGAAGTAAGAATGAAAGGGAAGGATTTTTAGAACCGTTGAAAGAATTTCTCCAATGAAACTCTACGAATATTGGAGTTTTGGAGACTGTGGGAAAATCCCATGGTTATTATTCATAACCATGTATAATACAAAAAAAATTAAAATACCATTGCTTCCTCTCAAAGAGTTTAGTATTCATTTAACTTATGGGAATTTTACCAACAGAAAAAGAAATTAAACAGTAGTCAGTATATAATTAAACACCTCCATGGATTAATACCAGAGATAGTTAGAGCCACAATAACGTAGTCGAAGAAATCTTTATGAAAACAAAAACCTGAACTTGTCCCTAGAACAAGTAGAAGACTTTCTATAGGCAGGAAGGAAAGATGGCTTTATCATTAGCCTGAGAAAATTTCAAGAAAACATTTGCAGAGTAGTAAAAGTATAAATTGAGTTGTATGGCTCTTTGGGCCAAACAGCCTTGTATGATGACTATATATTTGCAGGGTTTTCCACTTTTATTTATTGTTTGGTTGCTTGTTTATATTCCATAAAAGATTTGAGTCAGCTAGGCTAGGAAATAAATTTAGTTTTACATATCATATAAATTAAGCATTCAGAAATGATTTCACAAGAACCTTCTTACAAGAGACTGATATAAATAAAAAGGTCCTTTATTTATATTTACAATGAGAAATGCAATCCCCATAAGTTCTGAACACATATGTTCTGACTGTGGTGTTCCCCAGCATTTGAACCCTGAAAGTCAATGAATTCCATGCAGGAAGTTGTTCACTGATCAAGTCAGGCTGGGAGACAATCACGTGATTTAAACCTTTTTTATCTTCAGATTATACTAGTCTGGTGTGCTCGTGTCCACAGTAGAGAAAGCCCTAAACTTGGGCGGGAGCCTTCAACATCCTTTGGTTTGTCTTAAGAGTTTTTGTTTCATCTTGAGTAGATTTCGTTATTTACTTCTCACGAGCAGTCTCATCTTTCAGATAGTGAGATTTTCTTTAAGGAATTATCATAATCAAATGAGAGTTTTAGCGAGAGAGCTCGGCCAGCAGTCTTGAACGCAAGTAACAAATCATACAAAAGAATAGTAAGCTTTATTTAAGTTGGCAGAAAATTGAGTTTTAATCAAATACAGTTCTTATCTGTTTCTTCTGTCTTCCAAATTACTTGATGCTTTCTCAAAAATAAAATCCAAACACACAAAATTTTATATGTGTTGATTCTATATCTATAAATTTAGCTCTATCCATCAATAGATATTCTAAAAACCAAAAATTAGTTTTAGTCTTAGATACCTAATTAAATATTTATATTAAACGTGAAATATATATGCTGGTTTGATTTTTTTAGCTTTTCTATTTAGACACTTCCTCTGCAAATGTTCAAAAGATTTTTTTTTCATACTGTAGTAACTAAGGATTTCATCCATCTCTATTTCCTCCTGGTCCCAGAACTATAGTCCCCACTGTTTTAAACATCTGTCTGAGAATAATGAAGTATGCCTAGAAGAAATTTTTTTTAAATGATGAACAGTTCATTTTATGAATATTTATCATATAAGTTAAATGCAAAGAAGGAAAGGTCATGCTGGGAATGATTGGGTTTCTCATTTTAGAAACATATTTACTGAGTAAGCAGAGTGACCTCCCAAATTTTTATGAGAATCACCTCTGCCCGTCCACTTTGTAGAATACCTTTAAGCAGAGAAAATTGAATTTACTTTTTTTCCCCTTTTGGGGGAGGAATACAGGGAAAGATGAATGGGAAAAGGAATCAGGCTTCTAAGTAACTCCAAAATTTCTAGCAAAAATACCTCTTCAGAAGAATTAGTGCTTAGCAGAGTTTTCATTCATTCTTGTTGCCCTGTGATTAGGCTATGTTGGGATCAGGTGCTCACCCTGGCAATGGAGGCATAGGTGTGTTTGTTTCTATGTTAACCTAATGGTATCATTCAGCAAATGACCTCAGGAAGATCGGGAAGTATTTCCTGAGACATAGCACATATGCCTCATATTCGTTGCATAGTAAAGATGACTAATGCAAAAGCAGAAAGTTAGGCAGACATTGTCTGTGACTGTGAGGGCTCCACACAGAAGTGTACCACACAGCCGGGCCTGTATCCTTTGGGTCTGTTGATGCTACCCAACAGGTTGCCCAGGCCCTGTTTGTTTCTCACTCAAAGGAGTCACGCCACCCAGGTTTTACCAGTCTCAAGATAACTCACAATGGTCATAGAACTCATGTTGGAACAGTTCATCAGTAGAACTATTTTTGGATACAGAATAATACTTGAAGATTTCATCAACTAGGAAATAAAAGTAGAGTCGCTACATAGCTCACCTATTCTCAGCTGATACTTTTTGAAGTGATGCACTGCATATGTTGTTTAATCACATTCTTTATCCTTTAAACACTTTGATTTTTCTAGAGCATAAAATGCATGACTTTTTCTAGAGTATAAAATGCATGACTGCCAGTGTTTCAAAGTGCATTTTACCTGTACACAGGTCACCATCAAAACTGTTTTCCCTCATTTACACAAATGATAAAACAAACGCCTTAGAGGTTCTGATTTCCTATTTTCCCTAACCCACACTGTTCTTTCGTCTAGAATTTTCCCTGACTTTCTCCCACTGTGTAACAATCACTAAATATCTAGTAAATTCCATTTGTGCAACATTGAAATGTTAATCCTTGAAAATACTTTTATTAATTTTTACTCAGAGAAAAGCTCCCCGTACTGCTTTTATAAGACCTGTTTCTAGCATTTTAAGTAAAATGTGAATAACTCCTGTTCTGGTGGGGGTTTGCTATATATTAATACAAGTGGAGCCCTAAGGATCTTGTAGAAATAAAAATGTGTTTGAAGTACAAGAATGACAGTGAAATAAGCAAGAGGGTATTCTATTTTGAAGAAAATGATTTAAGTTTCATGAGATTCAAAATGATTTTCTTGAGTCTCTCCTATTTCTTAATCATGAAAAGTCCTTTTATATAATGCATTGCTATTTAAGGATATTTTATCCTTTTGACAATGGGCTTTAAGAGTTTATTGAGGAATCCAGCTTTTAGAAGTCACAGAAAGGAAATAAACTCAGCTCATTTTTTTCTATTAAATTCTATTTGATCCTTACTGTACTGTCTTCCATACATCACCATATACGATTCCAGGCTGGCCTAACTTCACTCAGTGTTAAATTGTTCACAGAGCAATCTAATTTTCCTTTGGGAATCTGTTAATAAGGGGAGGAGGGCAACGTGATATAATTGAAAATAGAATTAAATTAATTGTAAATTAATTGTAATTAAATTAATTGATATGATTATATCATACATTATTTTTCTGGTTTTGGTTGCAGATTATTTTTCATTATCATATGTATGGACATGGCATTGGGGCACTCACCTTGATGCAGGTATCAGTCACAAACCAAACAAAGGTCCTACTTAACCTCACTGTAGAACAAGGCAATTTCTGGCAGAGAAGAGAGCTACTGCTCGTTAGTGATGAAGACTTCCAACTTCAGTTTGAAGGTAGAGTTGGACAAGGCCACCGTGGTGACATTGCACTTGATGACATCGTTCTTACAAAGAGTTGTCTATCATCCCATCACTCTGTGAAAGAAGAACTGGCAGTGCCTCTTCCAACAGGTACATTGTAATTTGTGTGTGTTTGTGTTTGGTGTTTTTGCAGGGTGAAAGGTGGGAAGGAAAGAAGGAAATGGAAATGAAATGACATAAACACTGATTATCCATTGCTTTCATAAAGAAAAAATATTTTTGAACTTCAAAGAAATTGTCCTTGAAGCCTTTACTCATAAAAAGTCTTCCAAATTTTCTCCAAGCTGTGGTATATTTGCCAGTTCCTGACTTTTCTGTTTAGTCAGATTCTTCTTAGGTCAGTAAGATAAGACTCATTTGTTAGCAGTGTGACTCAGTACTCAATCCTAAACAAATATTTATTAACTTTTAATAAAATATATGAAATTCAAGAACAGAGTTATTCAATTTTAATTAGATATTAATGGTTTACACTATTTGCCTTATTCTTTGTAATCTGTGGATAATTTTAATGATTGAGTTTATATCTTAAAATACTGTAGATGATTGAATGTGCCCATATGTCCTTTAACCTAAAATATATTTGGGCGATTTTTCTAAAGAATTTTGTTAAACTGTTGAGTTGGCAAATGTTCGATACAATACCTACAGTGACAGTGGTGTAAGAAGTAGAAATAGCAGGCACCATTAATACAGATAATATATTAGAGGGATGAGATGATAATAAATGTAGTATATATTATTTAAATGATCAGAGTAAATTTTGTCAATTGATAATATGACAGATATTAATATTTAAACCATGAGTTTACTGTAGAAAACAAAAGTACAGTCCTGTTGATATCTAAATTTCTCTCTTATAATTAATGAAAGTAAAAGTACTTTATTACAGATAAATGAATCTGTTTTCTCTGGCTTTTAAGATGGTAGGTGGAATGGAGAATATTGCCATTTCTGCCTTTACTTCCCCATTTATTTTAAAGGGACTGTTTTAATGTGGTTATGAGGAAGTTTCTAGATAAGTAGTTCCCGGTTGACAGTCAGTCAAACATTCTTTGCCTGAGATCTTTCTGACACTGTATGGAATAGTACAGAGGGATACAAAGATTTCAAGATTGTTGTGAGAGATAAATGTACATATGTGGATTTAATGCAAAAGTGTTTCAGGTACCTCAGGTGAATCTAATTCCCTAAGAAAAGCTTTGCCTTCCATTCTGTGTAGGATATTTGCGTGACAGCTATACTAGGTCTTATACAGGTCTGGCCCTTTGAATAGTAATTTTTTTTAAATTTCAGGATATTATGGGGGTACAAACATTTTGGTCACATTTTATGATTTTGCCACACCTAAACCATGATTTGAGGCGTGTCTTTTTCCACCTACTATGCTCACCGCGTCCTTTAGTTGTGAATAGTAATTTTTTTATCATAATAAAAAATGATCTCATAGCATCCAAGCGGTGAGAGAGCAAAAGTTTTATGCTGTACCCATTCAAAACTTAGTGAACAACTACTAGATGGAATACAAGAAGAATGTTAAACTTTAAGACTCAAACCGTGAAATGATTCCGAAAAACTATGACTTCATCATGAGCCTGGACAACTCTGATGGAGTCCCTGATATTTTAAGGGAAGGCCATATATATATATATTTTTTTTTTTTGAGAAGGAGGAGGAGGAGGAGGTTGAGAGTAGAAAGAGGGGTATCCTGAACAAATAAAAAGCCAAATTGTTTCTTTTGATCTTGATGAAAGTTGGTGTAAGAGAGTTAAAAGATACCGTGGACATCCAAAAGAAATATGAGTCACAAATGTAAGCCACATATTTAATTTTATATTTTTAGTACTCACTTTATAAAAAAGTGAGATGAATTTTAACAGTATATGTTCTTTAATTCAATCTATGCAAAATATTATCAATATCAAATTCAATATAAAATATTAATGAAATATTTTACATTCTTGTTTTCACACTGAGTCTTTAAATCCAGTGTCCTTTATAAACTTACAGCATATCTCAATTTGGATTAGCCACATTTCAATTGCTCAGTAGCCACTGATGACTATTGGTTACTCTAGTAGACAGCACAGGAGATAAAGTGAATTCTCTAGAGCACTTTTGGGTCTGTCCCTGACAATAGGGTTCCATTAATTGTGGTGAAATTTGTGAATTCCCAAGAATTACATTTATATACTTATTTAAATAGAAGTACAAAAATGTACCTCGAGTCAAATGTGAAAGCACAGGAACCATATTCTAGTAGACTAGGTATTAATATGAGACTCTCCTCTTATTAGCTATGTCTACACAACTTATCTGTGACACAATTTCCTCTATAACACAGAATTTCTACCTATTTCTTAGGTTCTAAGGCTCCTAAGAATTAAAAGGTGATTGCCCATATAATTTCCTTAGTTTAATGTCTGATATATGGTAGGAATTCATTCTATAAAAATAATCTCAATTTACAGTAGCATATATTTTCGTTATCTTTACCAGTATACTTTAGGTGGTGTAAACATTTGAGAGTCCTCTATTATTTGCATTTAGTTAGGAACATGTTTGTCTTATTGGTTTTGGCAAAATTATTTTTCTTTTAGAGATCACAAGCATATTATTTTTATATTACATTATAATCATTCAATCTTATTTATTGAAAGCCTCTCTAATTTATTTTTGACGTCTTACAAATTGTGTGTATATGTGTGTATCCTCAAAATGTTTAATGATTCTTAATTTCTTATTACTGCAGCAACACTTAGCTTGAAACTTGCACACATTGAACCAGGGTAAATGGCATTATGTTCCACAAATGGTAGCAACATCCATTAAACTTTTGGAAACGGCTCTAGTTCACGCAGACTTTTCATCTATATTCATGTGTGTAGGCTAACAACTCCATCAAGGATAGCTTAAAATAGAAAAGACAAGAGGAGGCAAAAGATATATATTTAGGAATATATGCAATTGAGCTGAGTCTGGAATCAGTGATTCTAATTAATCAAAATAGACCCAGGGCTTTATTAGCAAAAGTAATATAAAATTATTATTGAGTCCCTAGAAGTCATAGTTAAGAGCTTATTTTGATGGCAATTTTGTTAATTGCTAAGTGATGAAGGATAAAAATAATTGTTCAATGAATTTTAATAAGAAAATTTTAATAAGAAAAAGATGACCAACGTCCCTCTTCTAAATGTCCATATGCAAATTCGACCACTATGATATTCTGTACTATTGAGAGATATTATATTTAATGAACTATATGTAATGACAGCAAGGGACAAGGCTTTTGTGTGTTTGTGTCTACTTTCAAATAGAAGTTATTCAATAACTCTGTTATAGAATATAACAAGGTAACCACCTTTTCTTAAAAAAAATGTTCATAAAGTAATGAGGGCTGAATGGATTAAGTCCTCTTTCAGATCACTCATTTCCCTGAAATATTTGGCAGTACTTTAAAAGACTCTGACATACTGATGAGAATATTGGCATAGATACTCAGAATACTGAGTTAGATCTGGCTGATTAGACATGGTTCAATAACTTGCTAAATCCTGCATGTTGCATTTATTCCAAAGTTGCATGTGCGCTGAGGTTTAAAGACATGAAGTTGGATCCTGGCACTGCTTGCTAGCTATGCGATGTTACCTAATCTACTTCTCCAATTCTAATCTTTCTCTTCTGTAAAAATGAGACTAGTGGAATCTGCTTCTGAGTGATTTGAAAAATAATTGTGACACTACTATAAAGTATGTCTGAACAATGCTTGGCATATAGTCAGTGTTCTGTGTTACTTTCCTTTTTTTTTTTCTACCTTTCCTTTTCCCAGCTAGGAAGATTATGAAAATAAAATCTATATAAATTGAAATTTCTTAAAAACATATGGTATCCTTGCTGTTTTTTCCTTCCTCATATTCCATTCATTACTCAAAGCAAGGGTTCAGATATCTGTTGTCCTTGCTATTCCATTCAAAGAAATTGCTCGCACAAAAGCCCCAAAATGTCTAATTGCTAAATATGGTACTTTAATTTGTTATTCATAATAAGAAATGGGGAGGAATGAAGAGTCACAACAAAGATCCAGAGATAGTATTGATGTGATAGCCACCAATGAATGAAGGAGACAAAGAAGAGATTAAAGTGCCTTAATGTTTTGAACCTGGAAAACCTTGCAAAGTAGTCATGAGATTCACAGAAGCTTTGATTGAGTATGATGTGTGTGGGGAAGAGGAAAGAAGTTCATTTTTTAATATATGGTCATATTCCATATGTTTTCCCAGTTAAGCATCTGGTGGTTTTTGATATCTAACTTCATAGAATGCCTGTATCTCACTTTACCTTATTTATTTATTTATTTATTTATTTATTTATTTATTTATTTATTTTTAGTTTTTGGTTTTTGGATATTATTTATAATGGGAAAATATATTTACATCACCCAAAAACTCACTAGAATCGTTTTTATGCAATATGTTATACGGAAAAAATCTCAAGTTTCAAAATACAATTGGTGTGGAAATTCAGAGGATGTTCATCATGAATGTTACTGTGACTAGTAGAAGCAAAACAGCATCAAATTCACTGTGAGCCATTATATGATTGTGCGTTTCTCATGAATATGTTGTGTTTTTTTTTTGTTTTTGTTTTTGTTTTTGGTGTCTTTTATATGTAGTCATGTTTTGGTTTAATTTGAACAAAAATGGCCTTAGTAGTTGAGAGAATGTTGGACAAAAATTGTCGAAAGGAAAGCAAAGCAAGTGAAAAAAAAAGAGATTTAAATGTAAGAGAAGATAAAAGAATAAAGTATTTTGATCAAAGAGAGCTGGCTTTGAAGAAGTAGATAAAAAAAAATAGTTGAAGAGCTCTTGGAATATCTAACTAAGGGATTCACTACTAAGTTTATCCATATAAACAGATAATATTGGTCTAAAGGAGACAACAATGAAGATGCACTAGATAAGCCTATCAAACAGATAGACTTCCCACAGTTTAAGGCCCTTGCAAATGCAGTGACAAACAGGATAACCTTATTGGTGTTTTGCTGGGTTTTCATTTGATTTTTAAGAACTTAGTTGAAGGTGATGAGTAGA